GGTAATGCAGCAGTTAGAAAAAACTTTTCACAAAAGAAGAAGCAGTCTAAACAAGAACGAGAAGAAGAAGAAGAGGAAGAAGATGAAGAGGAAGAGGATGATGAAGAAGAAGAAGAAGAGGAAGAGGATGATGAAGAAGAAGAAGAAGGTAAATAGTACCTTCAAATCTCATGCTATCAAACGTTTGGGATGGTAATGTTGCATCCAACCGCGCTCTTCATTTTTGTTCTGGCATAACCCAAAACGGCAATATTTCTCGATGCAGATTCATATGTATTTTGTGCTTACTCATATCTCTGCGGTGCGGAACAATGATTTTTGTGTGAGCAAAAGTAATTAGCCTTTAGAATTAGAATTAGTTATATTTAATTAATTTTTTAAGAGATTATTTAGAGTATAATAAAAAAATAAAATTATGATTATTAATTAAAAAAGAAAAAATAATTTTTTATAATTTTTTAAGTTTTTCAAAAATAATCATTATTACTATTTTTGTTTTGTTTTCATTTTATTTTTACTTCTGTGAAAATCGTTTTAAAAATTGGTTCTAAACACAGGGTTCGTCAATTTTTCTCTCAAGCTCAAGTCCGAGATTTTCCGCTCAAAACGCTCCAAAACCCATCCCGACAAGAAACCCCAAATCATTTCCCTTCCTGGCTCTATCCGCCGCTCATCCAGGTAAAGTCTTTTCTTTTCTCGCGTCACGTTTGTTTTACGGGACAATGAAAGAGGAAAGAGATTAATTTATGTACTGAAGGTTAAAGCTTTTTCATCAAAACTTGGTTATGGATTTTTGCGCGTTTAATTTTACCAAATTATTACCTTTCCTAGCTCTCCCTGCCGCTCATCCGGGGAAAATCCTTTCCTTTCTTGCGTCGTGTTTGTTTCCCGGGAAAATGAGGGAAAACGAACTAGGCAAAAGAGGAATTTATATACTAAAGGTCAAAACTTTATCACCGGAACTTGTTTAGGGATTTTGTGGATTTAAATTTGTAGGTTGAAGACTATGGTCCCGGTTAGTTACACGGAGAAACGCGCTGAAGGGGAGATTTTCATGAAAGAAGGTTCGAGGCCGGAGATTTACGGGAAAGAGCAAGAAAAGCTTTCGGTAGATTTTTTGTTTTTGTTTTCCAGAAATTGTCTCGTAGTTTGATTCAGTTCTATTGCTTGGTAATGTAGCAGTTACAGAGAAGTTTTCACAAAAGAATAAGCAGTCTAAACAAGAGCGAGAAGAAGAAGAAGAGGAAGAGGATGATGATGAAGAAGAAGAAGGTAAATAGTACCTTCAAATCTCATGTTATCAAACGTTAGGGATTGTAATGTTGCTGCACATCCAACCGCGCTCTTCATTTTTGTTCTGGCATAACCCAAAACGGCAATATTTCTCGATGCAGATTCATATGTATTTTGTGCTTACTCATATCTCTGCGGTGCGGAACAATGATTTTTGTGTGAGCAAAAGTAATTAGCCTTTAGAATTAGAATTAGTTATATTTAATTAATTGAAATGATTTTATTTCTAATAAAAAATAAAAATGAGATTGTTTTGAGAATTATTTTGAGACTGATTTTAAAATTATGTTTGGTTGATTTTTTAAAAGATTATTTTGAGTATAATAAAAAAATAAAATTGTGTTTATTAATTAATATATTATAATATTATTGATAAGTATTAAAAAATAAAAATAGAAAAGTGAAAATAATTTTTTATTGTTTTTTAATTTTTTCAAAAAAAAACATTGTTACTATTTTAGTTTTCATTTTATTTTTTATTTCTCGAAATACGTGAAAATCATTTTAAAAAATGGTTCTAAACACGGGGCTCTCATGTTATCAAACGTTTACGCGAAAGAGCAAGAAAAGCTTTCGGTAGATTTTTTGTTTTTGTTTTTCAGAAATTGTCTGGTAGTTTGATTCAGTTCTATTGCTTGGTAATGCAGCAGTTATAGAGAACTTTTCACAAAAGAAGAAGCAGTCTAAGCAGGAACGAGAAGAAGAAGAGGAAGAAGATGATGAAGAAGAAGAAGAAGAAGAAGAGGAAGAGGATGATGAAGAATATGATGAAGAAGAAGAAGAAGAAGAAGAAGGTAAGTAGTACCTTCAAATCTCATGTTATCAAACGTTTACGCGAAAGAGCAAGAAAAGCTCTCGGTAGATTTTTTGTTTTTGTTTTCCAGAAATTGTCTGGTAGTTTGATTCAGTTCTATTGCTTGGTAATGCGGCAGTTACAGAGAACTTTTCACAAAAGAAGAAGCAGTCTAAACAGGAACGAGAAGAAGAAGAAGAGGAAGAAGATGATGAAGAAGAAGAAGAAGAGGAAGAGGATGATGAAGAATATGATGAAGAAGAAGAAGAAGAAGAGGATGATGAAGAAGAAGAAGAAGAAGAGGATGATGAAGAAGAAGAAGAAGGTAAGTTGTACCTCCAAATCTCATGTTATCAAATGTTTACGCGAAAGAGCAAGAAAAGCTCTCGGTAGATTTTTTGTTTTTGTTTTCCAGAAATTGTCTGGTAGTTTGATTCAGTTCTATTGCTTGGTAATGCGGCAGTTACAGAGAACTTTTCACAAAAGAAGAAGCAGTCTAAACAGGAACGAGAAGAAGATGAAGAGGAAGAGGATGATGAAGAAGAAGAAGAGGAAGAGGATGATGAAGAAGATGATGATGAAGAAGAAGAAGAAGAAGAGGATGATGAAGAAGAAGAGGAAGGTAAGTAGTACCTTCAAATCTCATGTTATCAAACGTTTTGGACTGTAATGTTGCTGCACATCCAACTGCGCTCTTCGTTTTTGTTCTGTCATAACAAAAAACGGCAATATTTCTCGATGCAGATTCATATGTATTTTGTGCTTACTCATATCTCTGCGGTGCAGAACAATGATTTTTGTGCGAGCAAAAGTAATTAGCGTTTGGAATTAGTTTCGAAATGATTTTATTTCTAATAAAAAATAAAAATGAGATTGTTTTGAGAATTATTTTGAGACTGATTTTAAAATTGTGTTTGGTTGACTTTTTAAGTGATTATTTTGAGTATAATAAAAAAATGAAATTGTGTTTATTAATTAATATATTATAATATTATTGATAAGTATTAAAAAATAAAAATATGAAAGTGAAAATAATTTTTTATTGTTTTTTAATTTTGTCAAAAAAATCATTATTACTATTTTCGTTTTCATTTTCGTTTCGTTTTCATTTTATTTCTTCTCGAAATACATGAAAATCATTTTAAAAAATGGTTCTAAACATAGGGCTCTTTGATCTTTCTCTCAAGCTCAAGTCCGAGATTTCCCGCTCAAAACACTCCTCCAAAACCTCATCCAAGTAAAGTCTTTTCTTTTCTCGCGTCATGTTTGTTTTCTGGGAAAATGAAGGAGGAAAGAGATTAATTTATGTACTGAAGGTTAAAGCTTTATCACCAAAACTTGGTTAGGGATTTTTGTGCGTTTAATTTTACCAAATTATTCCCTTTCCTGGCTCTCTCTGCCGCTCATCCAGGGAAAATCCTTTCCTTCCTTTCCTTTCTTGCGTCATGTTTGTTTCCCGGAAAAATGAGGGAAAACGAACTAGGCAAAAGAGGAATTTATATACTAAAGGTCAAAACTTTATCACCGGAACTTGTTTAGGGATTTTGTGGATTTAAATTTGTAGGTTGAAGACTATGGTCCCGGTTAGTTACGCGGAGAAACGCGCTGAAGGGGAGATTTTCATGAAAGAAGGTTCGGGGCCGGAGATTTACGCGAAAGAGCAAGAAAAGCTTTCGGTAGATTTTTTGTTTTTGTTTTCCAGAAATTGTCTGGTAGTTTGATTCAGTTCTATTGCTTGGTAATGTAGCAGTCACAGAGAAGTTTTCACAAAAGAAGAAGCAGTCTAAACAAGAGCGAGAAGAAGAAGAAGAGGAAGAGGATGATGATGAAGAAGAAGAAGAAGAAGGTAAATAGTACCTTCAAATCTCATGTTATCAAACGTTTGGGATTGTAATGTTGCTGCACATCCAACCGCGCTCTTCATTTTTGTTCTGGCATAACCCAAAACGGCAATATTTCTCGATGCAGATTCATATGTATTTTGTGCTTACTCATATCTCTGCGGTGCGGAACAATGATTTTTGTGGGAGCAAAAGTAGTTAGCGTTTCGAATTAGTTTCGAAATGATTTTATTTCTAATAAAAAATAAAAATAAGATTGTTTTGAGAATTATTTTGAGACTGATTTTAAAATTATGTTTGGTTGATTTTTTAAAAGATTATTTTGAGTATAATAAAAAAATAAAATTGTGTTTATTAATTAATATATTATAATATTATTGATAAGTATTAAAAAATAAAAATAGAAAAGTGAAAATAATTTTTTATTGTTTTTTAATTTTTTCAAAAAAAACATTGTTACTATTTTCGTTTTCATTTTGTTTTTTATTTCTCGAAATACGTGAAAATCATTTTAAAAAATGGTTCTAAACACGGGGCTCTCATGTTATCAAACGTTTACGCGAAAGAGCAAGAAAAGCTTTCGGTAGATTTTTTGTTTTTGTTTTCCAGAAATTGTCTGGTAGTTTGATTCAGTTCTATTGCTTGGTAATGCAGCAGTTACAGAGAACTTTTCACAAAAGACGAAGCAGTCTAAGCAGGAACGAGAAGAAGAAGAGGAAGAAGATGATGAAGAAGAAGAAGAAGAGGAAGAGGATGATGAAGAATATGATGAAGAAGAAGAAGAAGAAGAGGATGATGAAGAAGAAGAAGGTAAGTAGTACCTTCAAATCTCATGTTATCAAACGTTTACGCGAAAGAGCAAGAAAAGCTCTCGGTAGATTTTTTGTTTTTGTTTTCCAGAAATTGTCTGGTAGTTTGATTCAGTTCTATGGCTTGGTAATGCAGCAGTTGCACAGAACTTTTCACAAAAGAAGAAGCAGTCTAAACAGGAACGAGAAGAAGATGAAGAGGAAGAGGATGATGAAGAAGAAGAAGAATAGGAAGAGGATGATGAAGAAGAAGAAGAAGAAGAAGAAGAGGATGATGAAGAAGAAGAGGAAGGTAAGTAGTACCTTCAAATCTCATGTTATCAAATGTTTTGGACTGTAATGTTGCTGCACATCCAACTGCGCTCTTCATTTGTGTTCTGTCATAACCAAAAACGGCAATATTTCTCGATGCAGATTCATATGTATTTTGTGCTTACTCATATCTCTGCGGTGCAGAACAATGATTTTTGTGCGAGCAAAAGTAATTAGCGTTTGGAATTAGTTTCGAAATGATTTTATTTCTAATAAAAAATAAAAATGAGATTGTTTTGAGAATTATTTTGAGACTGATTTTAAAATTGTGTTTGGTTGATTTTTTAAGAGATTATTTTGAGTATAATAAAAAAATGAAATTGTGTTTATTAATTAATATATTATAATATTATTGATAAGTATTAAAAAATAAAAATAGAAAAGTGAAAATAATTTTTTATTGTTTTTTAATTTTGTCAAAAAAATCATTATTACTATTTTCGTTTTCATTTTTTTCTTCTCGAAATACATGAAAATCATTTTAAAAAATGGTTCTAAACATAGGGCTCTTTGATCTTTCTCTCAAGCTCAAGTCCGAGATTTCCCGCTCAAAACACTCCTCCAAAACCTCATCCAGGTAAAGTCTTTTCTTTTCTCGCGTCATGTTTGTTTTCCGGGAAAATGAAGGAGGAAAGAGATTAATTTATGTACTGAAGGTTAAAGCCTTATCACCAAAACTTGGTTAGGGATTTTTGTGCGTTTAATTTTACCAAATTATTCCCTTTCCTGGCTCTCTCTGCCGCTCATCCAGGGAAAATCCTTTCCTTCCTTTCCTTTCTTGCGTCATGTTTGTTTCCCTGGAAAATGAGGGAAAACGAAATAGGAAAAAGAGGAATTTATATACTAAAGGTCAAAACTTTATCACCGGAACTTGTTTAGGGATTTTGTGGATTTAAATTTGTAGGTTGAAGACTATGGTCCCGGTTAGTTACGCGGAGAAACGCGCTGAAGGGGAGATTTTCATGAAAGAAGGTTCGGGGCCGGAGATTTACGCGAAAGAGCAAGAAAAGCTTTTGGTAGATTTTTTGTTTTTGTTTTCCAGAAATTGTCTGGTAGTTTGATTCAGTTCTATTGCTTGGTAATGTAGCAGTTACAGAGAAGTTTTCACAAAAGAAGCAGTCTAAACAAGAACGAGAAGAGGAAGAAGATGATGAAGAAGAAGATGAAGAAGAAGAGGAAGAAGAAGGTAAATAGTACCTTCAAATCTCATGTTGTCAAACGTTTTAGATGGTAATGTTGCTTCACATCCAACCGCGCTCTTCATTTTTGTTCTGGGATAACCAAAAACGGCAATATTTCTCGATGCAGATTCGGATGAGCCTAGCAAAAATGAAAAGCGGCAATAGAAAGGAGGAGGGTTTACTGTTCCTTTGTCACTTTCAGATGCTCTTGTCAAATTTATTGGTACTGGTGAAAACACATTGTCACGGGCCGATGTTGTGAAAAGAATGTGGCAGTATATAAAACAGAATGATCTACAGGTATGATGTCGTTAACTAGCCTACAAAATATCCACATGCCAGTTCTGAGTCGTGGACAATTTAACATTTACTGAAGCTTTCATGCATATTGTTCTCTCTTCAGTTCGTTGTTGCTCATTTGAAGTTCGATACCGACGTCGTAGCTTTCATCGCTTGACGCTTAATAGATTAAGATCACAGCATGAAGTTTGCTTGACTATCTTATTATAACAGAGCATTTTGTGTTGCAGAAGTGAAGTGTTACGACATAAGTTAGAAGTAACACATAGCAGTAGATCATCATATTTCACATCCTTTAGATTTTAAGCTCATTAATTTCACATCCCTCAGGCCTCAAGTATGATATTGAAGTTGAAAATGTAGGGTAACCCACTTGCTCATGAACTTGTGAGCAAAGTTGGGCTTGGAAAATCTTATGATTCTTATCAAAGCTTGCATCTAAGTTTGATTAAAAGGCACGTGATTCTTGGGTTACCTCATCAGGCCAAACATTTCCAGTTTTATAACTCAAATTCCTTAACTATTTTACACTGGCAGAGGTGAAAAGTAAGAAACAAAAGGGGAAAAAGAAGGTGCAGGGATTTTTGAAGAGAAAATGGAATTGGCAAATTATTAGTTTTCTCACTGATATTAATTAACTTACAAATTAGTCATACATTTGATATTTTTTTAACCTCCAATTATACCAAACAAGTTGAAGGAAAAACAACTTTTCCTTCTCTCTCGATTGCCTGTCATCCATCTCTCCTTTTTTCTTATGCCCTCTTGCCAAACGGAGTGTTGGAATTTTTTTATTACATTTCCTTTATTAGATTACCATTTGATTTTGGTGACTGATTTCCGTATCTAAGGCAAATTTTTTTTTTTTTTTTTTTTTTTTGAAGGATCCGTTGGATAGGAGGAGAATTTTATGTGATGATAAATTGAAAGAGCTTTTTGATGTTGACTCTTTCAATGGCTTCTTAGTCACAAAACTTCTGACTGCTCATTTTGTCAATGACAGAATAGCGTTTGCATACATGTATATAATGTCAGCCTCCAATGTGGCCCATTTTTGCACAAGCTAATTCCTTGTTATATTTGGTAGTCTTTATGTTCCAACATCTCCATTGAAGGAAAAACAGAATTTTGATAGACTGGCTCTTGCGAAATCCCAACATTTTCTTTTACTATTATATCCCTTTTAAGTTTTTATTCCATTGAAACATCAATCTTTTAACATGTCTGAGTGCTTTATTCTAGGTAATTGGTGAGGTTTTATCTGCTACAATCATATTAAAAATGAATGGTTTATTGATTTGTCTTTCAATATTATTCATATAATTATTATTTATTCATAATAAATCTACATGACTGTTGTTTATTGACATATACTTAAAAATGACTTATGGTTTCCAAGATAGTAATGTTGGGTGCATTTGGAATTGATTCTAAAACGTTTTTGTTTTCTGTACGAAAATGTAAATGAAAACGTTTTCATTTTCATTTTTGAATTATTTTTAAAAATGCGTTTGATAGTTTTATTTAGAGATTGATTTCAGTTTTAAAAAAAACTGAAACTGCGTTTGGTGGTTTCATTTTTGAAAACATGTAATAGTATTTAATATATTAAATAAATAATAATTGAATCACAAATAAAAACACTAATAATTAATAAAATATGGAAATTACAATATTAGTTTAAATTATTGTCGCCTATACGAATCCCACATTTGATTAGTTAGATGATCCCTAAAATTAACCATGTAATTACGTTGTTACCGATCACCCATTTCAGATGTTTCTGCTTCTTGTGCATCCATACCATGTTGTTGTTCCTGTTGCCCTTAAATAGAGGATCATCTCGCGCGTGCATAGTAATTAAATTGTGGATCCCACAACAAGCTTTTAGTATAACATTTTGTCTTGGCATCCAATAATTGGTCATATGCCTAAGAATTTTAAACCTTACTTTCAAGACCCCAAAGCACCTCTCTATGCAATTACGCAGTGAAGAGTGATAATAATTGAATAACTCTTGTGGTCCTGTTGGTTGACCACTATTTTTAAACTGTTGAATATGGTACCTCTGACCACGAAATGGTGTTAAAGGTGCCAAGAATGGGTCATCTGGATTTCTCATAGTCTCAGTTAACACTCTAGAATCAGCAGCTGATCATTCTCATCCGGTATTGACATAAGTGAATAGAATATCAAAACTACAGGCCGCCATTACATTTTGAGTGCACGAATGTCTTCTTCCTTTGTAGACTGTCTGTTGATGTGCAGGTGGGATAACCATCATGTGTGTACCATCTATTGCACTAATACAATCCTATTAAAATACATAAGGCGTGAGTTACGATTAATTTAAAATTATTTGTCATATTAGTACTATATGAGCAGAGTCAGATTGTACCTTAAACCATGGCCAATACTTAGGGTTGTGTTGAATCTCTGGGGGGACAATGTTCATATTTGGTAGTTTTATAACTTGAGGTTCTAACGCAGACAATGGGGTAAGCATATTATCAAAATGCCGGTGTACTGTCTCTCCAGAATGACAAAATCTATCTTGTATCTCTCTATTGCGATCTGAGTGAGCAACCGTTCTTAAGAACATCATTAGAGATTTTTCTGCTGAAATACTTGAAGAAGGCAGTAGATTGCGGCCTCGAATTAACTGAACAATTGCTTCGAACGTGTCTCGATGCATATGACACATTTCAAACAAATTTTCGGGATGTCCATGTAATTGTTCTAAAACATATTCTCGTCCTGTTAACGCAGAATTACGATGAGGTTGCCTAGTTCGTCTATTTCCAATCGACATCAATAATTGGATATAATGTTGTGGTTGTTCATCATCATCTGATAACTGGAGAAAGTCAACAGCTCTGGCATCATTCTCACTATCTGAATCCATATTAATCTAAAAAATGAACCAAGACTGGAACTAATCAAACATCCATATAACATTAACTAATCAAACGAAGAACTCCAATGTAATTCAATCCGACTAAAAACAAATAACAAAGTCTAACAAACACAAGTCTAAGAGGAATCTGTTGTACATGTTCAACAATACTTAAAAAAAAAACATACGTTCGAGAGGAAACAAATAAAGAAAACAATACAATAATCATTTAAACTACAGGCTTCGAATCCATGAAAGATGACGACAAACGGACATTTTCACAAATATCCTTCTAAGGGAAATGTCAACCGCCAACTGCCTCAATGAATCTCGGTGATTGTCTGAATATAATATTTCCATATTCCATAGGTATGGAGAAAATGTGATAGAAACCAATGAGAATCCTAGCTGGATTTGTCCTGTATGTCGGGATATTTGCAACTGTAGTTTATGTCGAAAGGCAAAAGGGTGGGCGCCTACTGGTTCAATCTATAGGAAGGTTAGTACCAATGTACCATCAATCTAGTGAAATGCACGCATGTATGTATATATAGGGGTGGCAATCCGGGTAGCGACACGACGACACGACCTGAAACCCGCACGAAATTAGCGGGTTTGGGTTTATCATAAATAAGTCCGGGTCAGAATCAGGTCGAACCCGTGAAACACGATTAAATAACGTGTCATTTTCAGGTTGACCCGCCAACCTGCAATTGACCCGCCATAACCCGTTTATTAAACGTGTCATATATAGGTAACACGATTATATAACCCGTTTATTACCCGTTTATTACCTGTTTATTACCTGTTTATTACCTAGGTTAAAAAAAAAGTTTAACTATTCACTATTCTCTTTCTCTAATCTCCCTCGTCCATCCCATTCATTCCCACACCCACTCCCATCTGCGGCCGCCTATCTCTCTCTCCACTATCTCTCAACTCTCTCGGTCTCCTCTCTCATCTGCGGCCGCCGATCTCAGTCCACCGGACCACTGCCACTTCTCATTTCTTCTTCTTTCTCTTCTTCTTCTTTCCTCTCCACTCGCAATCGGTGTTTCTCCGCTGGATCTCAGTCTTGGATTTCAGTTTTTGCTTGTTCTTGGTTGTTCTTCTTCGGATTCAGAGCAGTTGGTTTTGCTTGTTCTTCTTCGGAAATCGAAACAGGTATTTCGCCTCCATTTCAGTTTTTACTTGTTCTTGGTTGTTCTTCTTCGGATTCAAAGTAGTTGGTTCTTGCTTTGTACATATTTTGATTTCAGTTTACTTATTTTTTTCAATCTTCTAACTGACTAATTCGTGTGGAAAGAAAGGTGGTTTTTTTCAGTTTACTTGATTTCAGTTGGTTGTTTTTTTTTTTTTCTTTTTAATTGAAGTATTGTTTTGCTTTGTATTAAGCTGTGAATCTTCTTTTTCTCCGTAAATTTGTGTGCAGTTTATGCTGTTAGACTTGATCATTCATTGTAGTTAATGACTTCCATATTTCATGTTTGCCTTCATTTCTTGTTTCAATCGGTTCGCAATTCAAATTTAACTTTTTTGTTAGTGTTTAATTCTCTCATACACTAGAGACTTGAGTTGTGATTTAAACATATAACTCTCTAAATTGATAGCACGTCATGTTCAATTACCAAGACCACAAATTTATGGCTCTGCAATCGTGGCTTGTATTTCATTCAAATATTAGTTGCATTTATGAGTTGCTGCCATTTTGTCTACATAGGACCATCTAATTATTGTCGTTAAAGAAAAGATTTTTTTTTAATTACAATTACATTTGATTCAATGGAAGTGAAAAGAAACAAACACAATTTGTCTACATAGGACAGTCTAGCCTTTCCGCCTCCCGTTTGTATTGATCTGGTTTATGAAGAAGGATTCTTTAAATCCTTTTCTTACGTTTAAGAATTAGTAATACAGAATACAGCTTGTAGTTAAACCTCCACCAACAGGGGTCACAGCCTCGAGTTTTTTCTTATTGGTATTGTTTGTGGTTTTTGCTTATATTGGTAATGTTGTATGGTTTGTGCAGATTATATTGGTTATATTGGTAATGTTGATTGTCTTTAATATTGTTTATATTAGGCGGTTGTAGCAGATTATATTGGTTATATTGGTAATGTTGATTGTCTTTTATATTGAAAGTTTCGTGATTGAGTTCTACCGTTTTTGACCATACGTTATGAGGTGAATATTAGAAAACTAATGATGACCAGTTCTGTTTTCAGGATTTTCAGAGGTGCTTAATTTAACACAATGGAAATTGATCTTGAGTCCATTGAGTCTCAAAGTGTGGATGTTGATGTTGAAGAGATTGATGGGTTGAGTTTTCATACCAAAACTCAAGGTGCTGATCTCCAAAAAAGAAAAAGGAAGCTGACCTCAAAAGTTTGGAGTCACTTTGTTCATCTTCTTTGGGTCCGGACAAGAAATTGAAGGCCAAGTGCAAACATTGTAGTTCTGTGTACCTCGCAGACAGTAAGTACGGAACTGGTAATCTGAAACGCCGTCTTGTGAATTGTCTGAAAATCTCCTACCGTGATATAGGGCAGATGCTCATTGCCCAAGAAGCTGGTGCAGTGACACTTAGTGGAGGTAAGTATGATCCTGAAAAATTTCGTGAGTTGGTTGTAGCAACTATAATCATGCATGATCTACCTTTTAGTTTTGTTGAATATGCGGGAATAAGGTCTATATTTCAGTACTTGCACCCTCAAATTCAATTGGTCTCTAGAAATACTGCAAAGGCTGACGCTTTAAAGTTTTACAAGAGGGAAAAGCTTCAAATTAAATTGATGTTAGAGACTATCCCAGGTAGAATTATCTTTACTTCTGATGCATGGACTTCTTTGACTAGTGATGGATATGTTTGTCTCACTGCGCATTTCATAGATAAGAATTGAAACTTGCAGAAAAGAGTGTTAAACTTTAGTTTTATGCCACCCCTACATAGTAGCGTTGCTTTGTCTGAAAAACTTTATGCCTTTTTAAGTGAATGGGGAATTGAAAACAAGGTGTTTAGTGTGACATTGGATAATGCTTCTGCGAATGGTGTTTCGGTTGACATGTTAAGAGAGCAACTAGTTGCCAAAAGGGTTCTTGTACACAATGGCGATCTATTTCACATGCGATGTTGTGCACACATACTAAATTTAGTTGTGCAAGAGGGTTTGAAGCAGATTGATGATTCAATTGTTAAGATTCGTGATAGTGTCAAATATGTCAAGGGATCCCAAGTGAGGAAGCAAAAGTTCTTAGATTGTGTGAAGTTAGTTGCAATTGGTGATAAGAAATGGTTGTGTCAAGATGTACCAACTAAGTGGAACTCGACATATCTTATGCTTGAAAGTGCTCTTTACTATCGCCGTGTATTTCAACATTTAGAGTTGAGTGATTCAAACTACAAGCATTGTCCTTCTAGTGCCGAGTGGGACAAAGTTGAAAAGATTAAAACTTTTTTGAAGTTGTTCTATGATGCAACTCTTAAATTTTCTGGAACAAAGTATCCCACTGCCAACTTGTACTTCCCTTCCATTTGGCATTGTTGCTTCATGTTGAAACAATATTTAGAAGGTGATGATGAGTACTTAAAGTATATGGCAACAGCAATGTGGGGCAAGTTTCAAAAGTATTGGTCTCAATTCCATCTTACATTGGCTATAGCATGTGTTCTAGATCCTCGTTTTAAGCTTAGACTTGTTGAGTTTAGTTACAAAAAGCTTTATGGAGATGATTGTGTTGAATGCATCTCAATGAGGAGTACGTTGTACTCTATTTTTGAAGAGTACAACAAAAAAAAGAAGGCTTCAACTAGCCAAAGACCAATACTTTTGAAACTTGTATGATGGAAAAAGAAGGAAATGATGATGTGGATATTATATTCAAGGTAATTTCTCTATTTATTAGTAATGCAGATGTTCTATGCTTATGTCTGATTGTGTATTCTTATACTATCTCCTTCTCATTTTGTAGGAATTTGATGAGATGTCTTCAGTTGACTCTACTACCACATCACAGAAATCAGAGCTTGACCTTTATTTGGATGAGCCAAGGTTGGCTAGGACCGCGGATCTTGATATCCTTTCCTTTTGGAAATCAAACCAATTTCGATATCCAGCACTAGCTTCTATGGCTTGTGATATATTGGTTGTCCCTGTTTCTACAGTTGCTTCTGAAGCTACATTTAGTGTTGGTGGTAGAGTTCTTGATTCATTTCGTAGCTCACTTAAACCAAAGACAGTTGAAGCACTTGTTTGTACCAGAGATTGGTTATATGGAGAAAAATGTAGTTTAAAACTTACTTAAATTATGTATATTTTCTATATTGATTTTGAACTAACTTGTATTTATATATATTTATTTTTGTGTAGATTTCAATGAAGAGGTGGAGGATCTTACACAAGATATCTTCAACTTTTCATTGAAAGAAGATGAGCCTTTCTCACAGGGATCAACTTCTCCTGAACGTAATGATGCACTTGGAGTCGCCCCAATGTAGCAAATTATTTAAATATTTAATTATTAATCATGTATGTTTGTTTTCTAAATTGTGAGACTTTTATGTGTTTGTTTTTTAATTTGTTAGAGACTTTAATGTGCTTTTTAATTTTGAACTTAAATTATGTAATGTCTCTACATCATGTTAAACAGGTTGAGAAACATATTCAGAAATAGGTTCTGAAATAGGTTATGAAATAGGTTCAAACGTGTTGACAGTAATCAGGTCATAAACGTGTTGACAAGTAATTAACGGGTTGACACGACACGTTTACTACCTGTTTAATAAACGGGTTAATCGTGTCGTGTCGTGTCAACCCGCTAATAAACAGGTCGTGTTTAGGTTTAGAATTTTGACACGATTAATAAACGGGTCGTGTTCGTGTCAGACTTATTCGTGTCAACTGATGGGTTCAACACGACACGAACACAACCTGTTAACACGAATTGCCACCCCTATGTATATACACGTGTTCATATGCTGTTGCTCATATCCTCTTTATCATCCTATATTCCTATGCATCTTCGGTTTGCAAGATGTGGCTCAAAGTGGCAGTTGAAGGGGCTAGGTAAAAACAGGAAAAAAAATGAGAAAAAAAATGTCAGTATGTGTTTACTGCTTTGAGTGCACTAATGTCACTGTCACCAAATTGTTTACACTATGCAGGTTGGGGGCTTTTTAACAGCGTTTTATTTTTTTTGTCATTTTTAGGCCATTTTTTCAGGCATGTCCAGAAAAATGTAAGATGTCTATAAAATTTCATAATTTTGTGATGTCGTTTTTATTTTATTTTATTTTTTTAAGATGAAAAATAAAGAAAATCATAAAAAATAGAATATTCATAAAAAATGGTGCTGCTTGTTGCATTAATTCTTAAAAATTGTATATTAATTTTAGAATGCAAAATATAAATAAAAATGTAAATTTTTGACTCATTCCGGCCTCTGGGTGCCCCATTTCATTTTTTGAGGCCATTTTGTGCAGGCATGCCCAGAAAAATGTAAGGACTGTTTTTGCAAAATTTCACAATTTTCTGACGTCGTATTTATTTTATTTTATTTTTCAAAGATGAAAAATAAAGAAAATTATAAAACATATAATATTCATTAAAAAATGGTGCCGCTTATTGCATTAATTCTTAAAAATCGTTTATTAATTTTAGAATGTAAAATATAAATAAAAATGTAAATTTTTACCCATCCCGGCCTTTGGGTGCCCTACTATGCGGGCTGGGGTTTTTGACAACGTTTTATTTTTTTTATCATTTTTTGAGGCCATTTTTTTTCAGGCATGTCCATAAAAATGTAAGGAATGTACGTGTCTGCAAAATTTCATACTTTTGTGACGTTTTATTTTATTTTATTTTTTAAAGATGAAAAATAAAAAAATCATAAAAAATAGAATATTCTTAAAACAATAGTGCAGCTTGTTGCATGAATTCTTAAAAATCGTATATTAACTTTAGAATGCAAAACATAAATAAAAATATAAATTTTGGACCTATCCTGGCCCTTGGGTGCCCCATTATGCGGTCTGGAGGCTTTTTGAAATCGTTTTACTTTTTGTTGTCTTTTTCGGTGCAAATTTTTGCCGACATGTCCAGAAAATGTAAGGATCGTGTCTGCAAAATTTCATAATTTTTTTATGTCGTTTTTATTTTATTTTATTTTTTAAAGACGAAAAGTAAAGAAAATCATAAAAAATAGAATATTCATCAAAAAATTGTGCAGCGTATTGCATTAATTTGTAAAAATAGTTTATTAATTTCACAAAGCAAAACATAAATAAAAATGTAAATTTTTGACCCAACTCGGCCTCTGGACGGGGGCTTTTTGATAGCATTTTATTTTTCACTTTTTGTTGCCAATTTTTGCAGGCAAACCCAGAAAAATGTTAGAATCGATGTTGCAAAATTTTATAATTTTGTGACGTCGTTTTTATTTTATTTTATTTTTCAAAGGTAAAAAATAAAAAAAATCATAAAAAGTAGAATATTGATAAAAAAAAAAAAATAGTGGTGCTTGTTGCATTAATTTCTAAAAATCATATATTCATTTTAGAATGCAAAACATAAATAAAAATGTAAATTTTTTACTCATCGCGGCCCTTAGGCGCACCACTACACGGGCCGGGGGCTTTTTGACAGCGTCTTTTTTTTTTTTTGTCATTTTTTGAGGCCTTTTTTTATTGGAATACCTAGAAAAATGTAAGGATTATGTCTGCAAAAGTTCCTAATTTTTTTACGTTGTTTTTATTTTATTTTTTTTAAAGAAGAAAAATAAAGAAAATCATAAAGAATAGAATATTCATCAAAAAATAGTGCCACTTGTAACATGAATTCCTAAAAATCATTTATTAATTTTAGAATGCAAAATATAAATAAAAATGAAAATTTTTGACCCATCCCGGCCCCTGAGCGTCCCACTACACGGGTTGGGGGTTTTTTTGACAGCGTTTTACTTTTGTTTTCATTTTTTAAGGCTATTTTTTGCAGGCATTCCCAGAAAATATAAAGATCGTGTCTGCAAAATTTTATAATTTTTTTACGACGTTTTTATTTTATTTTATTTTTCAAAGAGGAAAAATAAAAAAATCATAAAAACTAGAATATTTATCAAAAGATGGTGTCGCTTGTTGCATTAATTCCTAAAAATCGTTATTAATTGTAGAATGCAAAACAAAAATAAAAATGTAAGTTGTTGACACATCCCGGCGCTTGGGCGCCCCACTACACGGGCCGGGGGCTTGTTGACAGCGTTTTACTTTTTGGTCATTTTTACGCCATTTTTTGGAGGCATGCCCAAAAAAATGTAAGGATCGTGGCTGCAAAATTTCATAATTTTGTGACGTCGTTTTTATTTTATTTTATTTTTCAAAGATAAAAAATAAAAAAAATCATAAAAAATATAATCTTGATCAAAAAATTGTGCCGCTTGTTGCATTAATTTCTAAAAATCGTATATTAATTTTAGAATGTAAAACATAAATAAAAATATAATTTTTGACTCATCGCGGCCCCTAACCGCCCCATTACGCGGGTCGGGGGCTTTTTCATAGGGTTTTTCTTTTTTTTTTTGGTCATTTTTTGAGATCATTTTTTACAGGTATGTCTAGAAAAATGTAAGGATCATGTCTGTAAAAGTACATAATTTTTGACGTTATTTTTAGTTTATTTTATTTTTTAAAGATGAAAAATGAAGAAAATCATAAAAAAATAGAATATTCATGAAAAAATGTTGCCGCTTGTTGCATTAATTCTCAAAAATCTTTTATTAATTTTAGAATGCAAAACATAAATAAAAATGTAAATTTTTGACCTATCTCGGCTCCTGAGAACCCAATTACGCAGGCCGGAGGCTTTTTTTACAGCGTTTTACTTTTTTTAGTCATTTTTGGGCCATTTTTTGCAGGCATGCCCAGAAAAATGTAAAGATCGTGTTTGCAAAATTTCATAATTTTTTGACGTTTTTATTTTATTTTATTTTTCAAAGATGAAAAATAAAAAAAATTATAAAAAATAGAATATTTATCGAAAGTTGGTGCCGCTTGTTGCATTAATTCTTAAAAATCGTATATTAATCCTAGAATGCAAAACATAAATAAAAATGTAAATTTTTTACCAATCTCGGCCCCTGGGAGCCCCATTATGCGGGCCGGGGTGTTTTTGACAGCGTTTTACTTTTTTTTTGTCATTTTTATTGCTAATTTTTGCAGGCATGCCTAGAAAAATGTAAGAACTGTGGCAGTAAAATTTCATAATTTTGTGATGTTTTTATTTTATTTTATTTTTCAAAGACAAAAAATAAAAAAAATCATAAAAAATGGAATATCAATCAAAAAATTGTGCCGCTTATTGCATTAATTCTTAAAAATCGTTTATTAATTTTAGAGCGTAAAACATAAATAAAAATGTAAATTTTTAACCCATCCTGACCCCTGAGTGCCCCACTACGCGGGCCGGGTGCTTTTTTACAGCGTTTTACATTTTTGTCATTTCTTGAAGCCATTTTTTGCAGGCATGCCCAGAAAAATATAAGGATCGTGTTTGCAAAATGTCATAATTTTTTGACGTCTTTTTTATTTTATTTTATTTTTTAAAGACAAAAAATAAAGAGAATCATAAAAAATAGAATGTTTATCAAAAGGTGGTGCCGCTTGTTGCATTAATTCATAAAAATCGTATATTAATTTTAGAACGTAAAACATAAATAAAAATATAAATATTTGACGTATCCCGACCCTTGGGCGCCCTACTACGCAGTCTGGAGGCTTTTTGACATCGTTTTACTTTTTGTTGTCTTTTTTTGCGCTAATTTTTGCAGGCATATCCAGAAAAATGTAAATTTTTTACCTATCTCGGCCCCTGAGTGCCCTACTACGCGGGCTAGGGGCTTTTTGATAGCGTTTTACATTTTTTGTCATTTCTTGAGGCCGTTTTTTGCAGGCATGCCCAGAAAAGTATAAAGATCGTGTTTGTAAAATTTCATAATTTTTTGACGTCGTTTTTATTTTAATTTATTTTTCAAAGACGAAAAATAAAGAAAATCATAAAAAATAGAATATTCATCAAAAAAATGGTGTCGTGTGTTGCATTAATTTCTAAAAATCATTTATTAATTTTATAATGCAAAACAAAAATAAAAATGTAAATTTTTGACCTATCCCGGCCTCTAGGCGCCCTACTATATGGGCAGGGGCTTTTTGATAATGTTTTACTTTTTTTTTGTCACTTTCTGTCGCCCATTTTTGCAGGGATGCCCAGGAAAAGTGTAAGAATCGTGGCTGTAAAATTTCATAATTTTGTGACATCGTTTTTATTTTATTTTATTTTTCAAAGACAAAAAATAAAGAAAATAATAAAAAAATTGAATATTGATAAAAAATGGTTTCGCCTTTTGCATTAATTTTTAAAAAGCGTATATTAATTTTAGAATGCAAAACATAAATAAAAATATAAATTTTTTGACTCATCGCGGCACCTAGGCGCCCCACTATGCGGGCCGGGGGCGTTTTGACAGCATTTTTCTTTTTTTTTTTTTGGTCATTTTTTGAGGTCATTTTTTACAGACATGCCCAGAAAAATGTAACGATCATGTCTGCAAAAGTTCATAATTTTTTGACGTCGTTTTTATTTTATTTTATTTTTCAAAGGCAGAAAATAATGAAAATCATACAAAATAGAATATTCATCAAAAAATGGTGCCGCTTGTTGCATTAATTCTTAAAAAACGTTTATTAATTTTAGAATGCAAAACATAAATAAAAATGTAAATTTTTGACTCATCCCGGCCGCCGAGCTCCCCACTACACGGGCCGGGGGCTTTTTGACAGCGTTTTACTTTTTTGGCAGTTTTTGAGGCCATTTTTTACAGGCATGCTCAGAAAAATATAAAGATCGTGTCTGCAAAATTTCATAATTTTTTGACGTCGTTTTTATTTTACATTATTTTTCAAACACGAAAAATAAAGAAAATCATAAAAATTAGAATATTTATCAAAAGATGGTGCCGCTTGTTGCATGAATTTCTAAAAATCGTATATTAGTTTTAGAATGCAAAACATAAATAAAAATGTAAATTTTTGACTCATCGCGTCTCCTAGGCGCCTCACTACCTGGGCCGGGGCACACCCAGGGCACCCCCGGGACACTCCTGGGACACCCCCGGGGTACCCCTGGGACACCCACCCTCGGGGCGCCCCTGGACACCCCCGAGACACCCCTGGGACACCCATCCCCGTGGCAGCCCCCGGCCACCACCAGGACACCCCCGGGAGACCTCTGGGACACCCCCGGGGCACCCCCTGGGCACTCCAGGGGCACCCCCGAGACACTCCCGGGACACCCCAGAGACACCTCCGGGAGACCCCCCGAACACCTCCGGGACACTCCGGGACACCCCCGGGGCACCCCCAGGAGCTCTTTTCACAAGATGAAGTTCATTACACGGGTGAAGAACCCAAGGACTTAGAGCACAATGATTCGGAAGAAGAAGTCGTGAAAGTGCAGCTTTTGGCAGCTTTTGGACAATGAGCACGACCATGCCAGTGACAACGGTGTCAAAGATGGTGTGTTGAAGGACAAGGAAGAGAAGATGGGTGAAGATGATGTCATGACTGAGGAGTTATGTATTGCCTTGCCCTCGGAGTAGAATTAAGCCGACATTCTCTACAATCCAATGTTTTGTCCACTGCAGTTGAATAGGTTGAGAAGCGTCAAACTTCTTTTGAAGAGGATATTTCCATTTTGATAACTAAATCTATGCGGATAAAAAGTAAAGCAAATAGTTGATAGTTTTGTGGAATTACTGATTTTGGCACGGATTAACTTTTATTGGTTATGTTTATTGGTTACTGATTTAGTTTGACAACTAAATCGAATGGTTCGTGTGTTGTAGGGAGCATTAGTAATTTTGTTAACTCTGTTCTATAACTGGTAAAGCTTCTCTATGTGATTATTGGTCATGTTCATTTCCTATTTAAGGATCCCATTGGCGATACCTTTGTGTGTGCGTGTGTGCACGCGTTTTGTGTGTGTGAGTGTGTGTGTGTGTGTGTGGCCCCTGAGCTTTAGTGGCTATTGGGATGCGATCACCCTTTGTTAAACGACATCTAAGAGACGAAAATCTCTAACTGAATGACATCTAACCAAAAAAAAAAAAGAACAGAGAATCTAAAGAAAATCCTTCAAATATAAAAGCATGACAAGATGAAAACCACAGTAACTGGAAACGCTGACATCCTTAAAATTCGAAATGCACTAGAAAAAAATGGAAACAATCTACCAAAACGACAACAATCTCACAATCACTATCATTCAAAAATTACGAATATACAGAAAAACGACAATAATTTGACATGATTATGTGTGTTCGGATTTGGAACTTTTTTCATTTAATTACCATTCAATATACATTTCCAAGTGCTTAGAACAAAAAGGATGACGGCATGGCGCTATTTTATTCAACAATTAATATTCAGATATTACCTATACATATTTCCCTAAAAAAAAAAAGAAAGAAAAGATATTACCTTTGAATACAAGTAATTTGTTTTCTGTAGCTAACCTAGCCCAGGGTAGCAATTCGTGTCACGTGTCGTGTTCGTGTCGTGTTTTGATCATTTTTTTTAAATTTACAGTCAACCCGAACGTGACCCGTGATACAAAATTTTTTAAAAATCGCTACACGAACACGACACGATCACTTTACGAGTTGACACGACACAACCTGAAAATGTCCCGTGACATAAAATTGACCCGTGAATCTGAAATTGACTCAAAAATTATATACTTTTATTTACTTTTTTACATATTAGAAATAACTTAAAATTCATAACCCACTAAATTACAATAACATCCATTGAAATTAAGCAAATAATAGTATAAGATTTTGAGTATAACTATCATGATATCACAAATTCATAATAAAATTTAAAATATGAATAGAAAAATATATGTATTTTTTAGTTTTTTACGAGTTTCGTGTCGTGTTCAGGTTAGGCGGGTCCAACCCGAAATTGACCCGTGTTTTTCGTGTCAATTTCAAGTCGACCCAATTCTGATCCAAACCTCTTTTTTCTCAACCCTAACCCACAAAATTCATGTCATTTTTGAGTCATATCGTCGTGTCATGACCCATATTGCCGCCCTAAACCTAGCTATATATTTCCTGGATTCACACACAACGCGCACACACACACATAGTGCAAAACAACAGTATTCTTTATGAAGAGAGGCTAAATGAAATATTTGTATATATATATATATATATATATAATGGAAAATGCCTTCAAACTAATAATTTGAGCTTCTGTCTTAGCACATACAATGGCTGTTTCACACACAATAACAATATTAGCGAACAATCCACAAGGCTTAGAAAAGATTGTGATAGTTGCCCATGATAGAATTACGAACATTGGAGAATAGTCCAAAGAGTGAATACTGTCGTAGATTCTTCACCTCGTACCATGAGTTAAGTGCATCAAGATTCTTGTCTGTGCCTGAGAAAGTCAGTTGTATGCTTAAATTGCAGTCAAAAGTCCCACCATTGCTCTTGCACTTGGAGTTTGGCACTGCACAGTCTTGCTCATTTAGGCAGACAAAAGGACCCCCAGAGCACTTGTCACACCCAAATTTCTTCCAATACAGGTTCTGAAGAGTACCACTCTGGAATTCAAGTACCTATGAACCAACAAGTTAAATAGTATTCGATCATTAATACGCTTTTAGGGAAGTGAGAGGAAGAGTAACGGTCCTTTTTCATTACTGGTGAGAACTGTTGGTTTAGATATTTGATTAATTTTTTCAAAGATATGACCTGTGAGTGTTGATGTTAAAAGTTTGCAGCTCGTGACACGCAATAAGTGCTCTGAATTATAGATTAAACGGTTGAAAATTTAATCAAACGGTCAAAACAACAGTTACTATGGTATTGAAAAAGGACGCTTATGAAGGTAAAAATTCCCACAAAAAGGACTTTTTTTTTTATTTTCATACCAAAGTGAAACTGGTTATACTGTGTGTGCTGTCAGCAACCAATATTGGTTGTGATCTTGCTGCGTAGTTTCTTCCAGCAAATGCTACCATATAACCTCCAGACGTAGCCTGAGATGTCATGAAATCATATCAGTTGGTACTTTGTTTATGTAAACTGTGATTATTGTGTAGTTCAAGGGGGAAAAAAAGAATAGTTAATGTTGCATTGATCAAACAACCTCAACATGCTAAGAATTCTTAGAACATATGTAAATGTGCCTTTGTTTTTCTTACTCCTAGCTCAACAAACAAATTAGTGGTTTGCTGCAACAAATTTGAATGAGAGTGTAAAGTCCCATAACATAGTGACCTAATATTGGACTAATTACGGCAAACCACGAAAACTCTCAAGCCAGGAAAAAAAAAAAGAAGAAAAGAAAAGAAAAAGAAAACCAGTTCCAAAAAGACATAAAATCAACCCGTAAAAAATAAACGTGAAATTAAAATAAGAATTGGCTGAAGAACATACAAATTAAATGAATTAGGAGAGAAGCATATATCAAATCAAGATACCTTTAAACTACACAAGCAATTAGTGATGATCATGATAGTTCAATAACTAGCAATATTTACATATTAAGACCTAGAATCTTTGATCACTGCATAAACATAAACTATATACACATATATACACATATATATGGACGAATTTTCAATAGTTACGTCTTCATTAGTGGGCACAGGTACATACCGGATCAAATGTGTTTCCATCAATAGACAAAAGAGAGATTTCATCAACTTTAGGCCTGAATACTGCAAGTTGGGAATTACTATCAGAAAGCGAGAGACGCTTATCACAAGGTGAAAGTTGGGTTTGATTGAAAAAGAAGGACTCTTTCGTGGAGAACGCAAGGCCAAAGGTGAAACCATCCAATTTCTGGACTTTGCTATCTGAGCACGGATCATAAACATCATTTGTATCTGCTGCTTCTGCTACAAAGTTGATCATCACCATCAATATCAATGTGATCATCATGATCATGATCATTTCAGATTCAGCCATGATATTAGGGAAAAGTGGAAGCGTTTTTCTGCAAAAGAGAATTTTTGTACGATTTAAGCAATGAACAATACAAGATATTAAGTAGTACTTGACCAACTCTTTCGGTGATAAATACAAGGAAAGTGCTAAATTGATTTGAGAAATAAAAAGATTAACGTGTGCAAATAAACATATATATTGTAACAAAATCTAACATGATAATTGATATAGAGTGAAAAAAAAACAACAAATTAAGCAATGAAATTTACATGCATGAATAAAGGAAACAAAAGAAAACCCAATAGATATAAAAAACTTTTTTTTTAAGGCCAGATAACAAATGCGCATGTAAATTTAAAGAAATAAAAATCAAGGATGAGCGTACGGACGTACCAAAGTTGAAAATGATGTCTATATTAATGTAACTACTTCTTTACAGAAACGAAATTTTCGTTGAATTGAATGTGCGAAAAAGAATCTTCCAAACACAGGCGTGAAGAATGTTTGATGATTTTTTTTTTCTCTGAAACTGATATAAAAAGTTTAATAACGTAAATTAATAGGTAATTAATGGGATTATTTGAGGACGGTTTTGTTGTCTTTTAATGCGTTAGGAGGAGTTGTTCAAGGAAACTAAAACCAAGACGAGCCAAAACGGTTATATCGGCAGGCTATTTGGATCTTGTCCCGGTGACGGTTATGAGAACCTTTTTTTTTTTTTTTTTTCGGTGTCAGGAATGAAAATATATAAAAAAGTTTAGAAAAAAATTAACAACAAAATGATTATTTAGACCTTCATTACTGAAATATCCAAAATGAGCCCATGCTCAGCAGAAAATCGTGATTCATCGAATTTGGTTCATGTTCAAATTTTAGTGTCTCAAATATGTGTTTAATAACCATATTGTGCTGTAATATCTAGAGCTTAAATAGAAAAGCATGTAAAAAGAAAATACAAATATTTCAAAATTTTAATTGATCTGATATAATATGATAAGTTAGATATCAAAACTCAACAATTAATCTAAGTCTCAACTTCACATTACCTTTTTTTTGGTCTAGGTTGCTTGTAGTTTTACTGCTACTTTTGATGATAAGATTTAAATTTTTTTCCCTACTTTTCATTAAAAAAAAAAAAAAAAAATCGCGTAGCTGCTCTATGCATTCTTTTATTATATCAGTTGCTTATTTTTTTTCTTTGTGGTCATTTCCTTTTTGGATATTAATTCTGTTGATTGATATGAAGTGTAATATTCGTGCATTCTTATTTTCCAATATATATATATTGGAGCATTACTTTTTTTTGTTGCGGTTTCTACTTTGTTCAGTGAGTAAATCTTTTTCTTATTTCAGTAAATAGTGAATCTTTTATTTACTTGACAAAGAATATTAGATTTAAGAGTACATACTCTAAGAAGAATTTTATTATGTTTTCCAAAGAAATCAAATTCTTTACTAAGATCGTCGTGGAAGCGCCTCATCGTGATGCCATTGTGTTTTCCTCGATCGCCAACTATATCGTGTGATATTGCAAAACTAGGGCTCAATTGTCAAACAGAGTCGTAGACCTTTCACTCTTCGAAGAGGTCATTGGAGTAGCTACAAGGGAAAATGGGATTCATCCCCATGAATTTAATCCTTCATTACTCATAAGGGTGGGTTTGACTATATTTAAGAGTGCTTTTTTTTTTTTCCCAGAAAATCGAAAATTTCCATCCTTCACCTTGTTATTTTTCCAATGATAAAACTTGAGAATGTGCCCCTTTTTTTGGGCTTTCAAGGTACCATGTTGATTCACAAATTCATCGTAACTTATAATTTTAACGTTTGAAATGCGCCAGTTCTAACTTAAAATTCACAAGTTATCATCATCCTCCAAAATTCACAAGTCTATCATATTCATAACTTGTACGTAACTCCAACGTTTGAAATTTATAAATTTCAACGAAAAATTCATAAATTATCATATTTTTGACACGATACTGAGAATTTTTCTTCCAGCACCATGGAAACTCACCTTTTTAGTATCCCACTTAGTATTATGACTCTCCTTATTACTCTTTAGATTTGTGTCCCTGTCTATTTAAAATTTATGTCTGTAGATTAATTAACTACCCTTAACTTTGAGATACACTTGAAATATCCACCCCATGTTGGTGTCAAGCAATGGTTACAAGATGTCGGTGAACCAACCTCATTACATTCCAATTGCGCTATACATATAGGTCATGTTTGGTAGTATATATTGTATTGAATTGTATAAGGTGTATTGTATTATGTTATATTATTATAATATACGGTATTCGATGTCATGACGTATTCTATAATAGGTTAAAATATAAAATTTTAAATTTTTTTGTGTCAAAATGTAATTTTTCAAAAATTTTAGGGTCAAAATATAATTTTTCAAAAGTTTTAAGGTCAAAATATAATTTTATAAAAAATGAGGGGACAAAGTGTTGGGGTCAAAAATGTAATTTTGTAAAAATTAAGTAGTCAAAATGTTATTTTTAAAAAATATAATATTGCATTATGCCCACTCAATTTTTAAACAATTATAAACTTCGACATGACTCTATATTGTCCCGATCACGACCCACAGTCGTGCCTAACCCCGATATGAATCATATATCCACTATAAAAAATACAAAATAATACGTCAAAAATGAGCCGTATTCCATAATACAACATAGATTGTAATAATTTACTATTGTATTAATTTATACAATACGAAAGTCACACTAAACATTATCTTATGAATTATTATACAATACAATACTTTAATACCGTCAAACAAACATGTCCACAATAATGAAATCTTAACCATAGTGTAATTATTATCATCTAAATATATGTTGTTCACCCTTCTCTTGGTCGTATAAGTTTAGGATGCATACCACTTTTTAAATCAACCATTCATTTATATTACTTTAATATGAAAATTATATGTTTGATATTAAACATTTTAGAAGTGGAATTTCTCTAAATCACTCTAGAACTGTAAATTTGGGTTGCCCGGACCAACGATCCAAATGGAGTAAAGAGAAGGTTGACCTATCTCGTCTTAAAAATCAAAATGGGTCGAGGTTGAGCCAAGTCAGTCCGAAACTTTATGGCAACTAAAGAAAAAAAATTTAAAAGCCCGTTTGGTTGGAGGATTCGTTCTCTGATTCGAATCATGGTTCATGGTTCGCTACAGTATTTTCTCTCACAAAAAATACACGTAAATCAAAAATGATTCTAATCTCATAGTTTTAATCCATAAACTAAATGGGCATTAAAAAAAGCTAAATCAGGCCGACCATCCCGAATAGACTATAGGGTATAAATTCTCGACCCAGCCAGCCAAGAGGTTTGACCTGCCCCGATGTACGCCCCCCTCTTCCAAAGAAAAAAAAACATTTTGAACCCCTCAGTTTAACCCGACCCAAACTTTCAACTGGGCTTGTTCTTTTAAAATTTAACTTGAGTATAATTCTTGAGTTGAATTTGAGTTATAACTTGAGTTAAACTTGTAACTTGAGTTTGTGTTTGGTTGTATACATTTGAGTTATGGTTTGAGATAAGAATCTTTTTGAGTTTGTGTTTGAGTGAGTCAAAACTTGAATTTGTATTTAGATAGTATTTTAATAAAAACTCAATGCTGATGAAAAATTTTAATAGGGTATATGGGTCGGGTTTTATTCGTCTTTTTGTTGTCAACGCATAGAAAAAAATCATCTCAATTAGAATTAAAACGAAAAAGTTATAACATTTTTAAGAATAGAAAAAATACTGTTTATTAATTTGAGTTTGAGTTTCTGAACTCAAGTTGAAGAGGAAACTTGAACTCGAGTTTTAGTCATAAACTCGAGTTTAAACTTAAATTTAAACTTAAATTTTAACTTAAAAGAATATAAACTCAAATAAAATTATAACTCAAATTATATTTTTTAAAATTTTTCACTCAAAAGAACAAACTCTTAAAATTTTATCGTCCATTTTTGGATCCATCCTATTTAACCAATGCAAAGAGGCCCAATTATTGGCGAAGTCAAATCAAACTTTCTCGGCAACAACTCCAACTCAGTGTGCTTTTCCTTTTTCTCTCCTTTTTTTCCTCTCTTTGTAATTTGGAAGTGAAAGCTCAACAAGTTTATACACACTATGTTGTGCCCCTGCTTCTTCTTAAGTCTGCATTATTCAGCTGACTCAACATAGTACTTCATATTAGTGGACGTGGTCCCCTAAAAAATAAAAACACCCTGATCTGACACGTGTACACTGTCCTAATTATTGCTCTTTAAAAATTATTATTATTACTTTTTTTCTCTTTTTTTATTTTCTTTCTCATCCATATATAATAAATTAATTAATTAAAAGCCTTGTCCTAGAAGAATGGAATAAAACCGTAGGATTTAAATTGTGAATTGATTAGATATAGCAAATTGTATATTCCACTAAGTGCCAAAAAAGTGCCTAGATGACTCGTCAAGGCTTCTTCTTGATTTTGACTCAGTGAGTTGTGAATCCATTGAGTATCGAGTTGACTCAACTCAACTTCATTTCTTCATGAATTTAACTTAAAAAACAAACAAACAAGACCCTCCTGAAATTTTTTGGTTTAAATAAGGTGTTCACGAATTAGATTATACAAATTAGAAGTTAATCTGTAATTCAATCTATTATTTTAGATTGGAAATATTTCAATCCGTCACTAATCCATGAGCCCCACAATCCAACAGAAAACAACGAACTTCAAAAATTCACGTATTGAGCTTATGTTTTGGGAGACTCTTGTGGGCCTTCCCTATTCACTACTATTAAAAGTTAAAAATTAATAATAAAATTAGAAATAAACACAAACATAACATAAATAAGGACGAATTAGAAGGTTGCCCCCGAATTATAGGCTTTGTCACAAAATGCACACCGAACTTTAATTTTACCTTTTTTTTCCTGAACTTCAATGGTTCTCTCAAATTTTCCTCTTATGTTAAATTCTTGATGGAAAATGTCATGTAAAATTTTAAAATTAACAA